GAAAGGATGAAGAGGGCTGTTAAATGCTGTATTAGGGGTTCAGATGCATTTTTAACGTAATATTTCTGATTCTGTCTCCACCCGGTGCAGTGTTCTTTAGCATTTTGATTAGTCTTTTAACTTTTGTTTGTGTAATCGGTTTCATGAAGAATTCTGTGTATGATGAGCACCTATAGGTGTAGTTTTCTGTTGCACACTGGAATTGCAGTGTGAATAGTTTTGGATTACTATTAATAAGCTGATCTACGTGGTTAAAGTGTTGCTTGTAAAAATGTGGAGAGTTTGGAGTTTTAAGAACTTCCTAGAAATAGTCTATTAATAAGTTTGCTTTTATCTTGATCAGATGCTTATGTTTTGCTATTATGTTCGAGGTTAGGTATATATCTAGTGGACTTTTCATTAAATATTGCTTTAAATTTCTTCCAGAAGAGGGCTGGGTCTTGATGAGAATTATCCTGTGATGTGCAGTACTTTCTTTTTGTTTGTTTATTAGATTTTTATATGGTTATTTACACAGTTAACATTTGATTTAATCTGTGGGTCACAGGAGTTTATAAACTGTCTTCTCAACTTGCATCTTTCATTAATTTAGCTCATAGAGTTCTTTCATTAGTGGCCATGAGTTGGGATGTATGTTTCTGACTTGTTTTGGGACTATTATTTCTGTTGTATTAATTATGATGTTTGAGATCGAAGTGGCATAGCTATCTACTGTTGTCAAGTTTTCAGCTGCTGTTTGGATGTATGGTAGTTGGGAATCAATTTTATTTCTGAAGGCTTACCAGTCGCTGTGAAGTTAAATACTTTTGGTTTTGCAAGGTTGTTTGGGGTATTGTTGTTTGATAGAGTTATAGATATAGGGTTGAGGTCACTGCCTATGTGTTCATGTACTTTGAAATTGCTTGCTAGTGAGTTTAGTGCACTTGTTATAACTGTTAAATCTAGTATGTCTTGGGAGTGAATTGGTGCGTTGTCATTACATATTACCAGGTTATGTTGCATTATGAAATCATTTAATATTCGGCCATTATGATTAGTTGTTCTTCAGTTAATATTTTTGTGTTTTGAATTTAAATCTCCAATAATTATTGTGCGAGGGTTTTTGGCTGATGACAGCTTGTAGTATGTTTATGCTTGGGGTCGTAGTTGGGGAATATATATAACTTAAGATTGATGTTTTGGGACTATTAAATAGTTGTATTTTGAAAAGTACATACCCTTTGTGTGAGTTTAAATTTAGCATGGGAAATGATACGTTTAGATTGTTAGTGTGTAACATAGTGACACCTCTACTTTTAGGTCCTTTAAACTTAGGTATATAAAAATTATCATTATTATCATTAATCATAGTTTCACTTATTGCTATTACATCTATATTTTTCTTTTTTATACAGATCATATAATTTGTATTTCTTGTACTTTAAATCGCCCTGAATGTCAACAGATAGTATGTTTAACAACATACCTGATCATCCTCCTGGTATATTCTGCCAAAGACGTAGTCCCTAAGTGACTCAAAACCACTAGTCTTGAAGCCAAAGTAATATGGTACCAATATGACAATATCCTGGATCATTGTGTCACTGTTGAGGATGACATTGCTCTGAGAACTACATCGATGACGAAGGATATAATTCTCTGGATCAAGACTTGATGTGTGTCCATTGATTGTGCTGATAGCTTCAGCGTAGGATCTGTTCTGGTTTGTCATGGCTGGTTTAGGAGTAGTTTACCTGTTGGTACTGTTGGCTGGCGTCTCTGCTGACTGTAGCTTGGGTCTCATGGATCCTTATCATTACTGGCGGGTGGTGTTTCTGTGGGCTTTGGCTGTGTTGGTAGTCATTTCATTTGGATCAACTTGTTCCTCTTAAGTGTGATCACCTGGGCAAATTTGAGGCATCCTCTGTACAAAGCAGCATGTGATCCACCACAGTTGGCAAAGGATGTTTCTTCTCACTTCTTGGGGCAGTCAGCTAGCTGGTGTAGTCTGCCACATCTGATGCATTTTGAAGACTCTGCTATACAGGCTGCATGGGTGTGGCCAAACTTTTGACAGTTGAAGCACTGGAGCACTTTGATGGTTGCTGACTGCTTGGATTCTTCAACAGGGTGAGGTTGAAACCATAGAGTGATGTCTTTCATGATGAGTCTATCTGCCTGGGTGACGTCCTTGATTGTGACTTAGATTAGAGATGTTAGTTAACTAGTCTTGAATGACTTGATCCTATCCACGTTGGTTGTTTCTATGCCTTGTCTGTGTAGTTCCTCTTTAATCTCTTTCGGTTTGATGTTCAGTCTACCCCTCGATTGTGGATGTTAAGTATCGCTTTTCCAAAGGTATTGGTTGGCCATGGGTTGTGGAGTTTAATGTAGTCCTTGGAGTGTAGGCACTTGACCACAAGTCCTCCATGGGCTAATCGTTGTACTTCCATGAACGCCATCATCGGGAACATTGTCTTTAGTTGATGGGCAATCTCTGGCTGGCTATAGTTTGCTGGAATCCCTTCTACTATTATGGGTGGAGGTGGTGCTGGCTGCTTCTTCTGCAATTGTTCTGGGTGGCTTGTTTCTGGCTGCTGGGTTCACTGGTGGTGGTGTCATTTTGTAGCTTGGATGAGGTCTCATTCTTGTCTGTGGGCTTTTTCTTTGTCTTTGTGGGTGAGTTATGGCTGCTGGTTGAAGAGTTGCTTGTGTTGAGATCATCTGGAGAAATGCTGTAGCGACTGTGTCGGACATTTTCTCAGCTTTTGCGGATAGAAGATGGAACTAGAATAATGGTGAGCCACAAGTTTTATTAATAGCCCTGAAAAGGGCTGGTTGATTCACAAGTATATAGTTCTATACAGAGGCTACTTAGTTGTGAAAATGAAGTGTTAATTCGTTTGTAACGAATTGATTTACCTCAGATAATCTTCAGTACTTGGTTGATTCACAAGTATATAGTTCTATACAGAGGCTACTTAGTTGTGAAAATGAAGTGTTAATTCGTTTGTAACGAATTGATTTACCTCAGATAATCTTCAGTACTTACTTTACTTGACAATTCCTTGAAGTGCAATCCAAAAGTGTGTACTGTTTTTCTGAAGAATACTTTCAAAACTACTTGTAAGTGAATAAGATTGAATAAAAGGAAGCTTATATACAGATCAGGTATAGGGGCGCATTGATGTACATAAATAGAGTCACAAGAATAAAATCGCTACAGGCGATATAGTGGGGTATAAAGACTGGAGCAAGCAAGGTAGAATTAATACCAATGCTTAGATGAACAAAGAAGAGAAACTTTCGTTGGAATAAAGCTAAAGTGTAAACAGAGTGCTTATATACAGATCAGGTGTAGGGGGAACATTGATGTAAGTGAATTGTTTGTTTGTCATGGATCTTGTGCAAAGCTACACGAGAGCTATCTATGCTAGCCGTCACTAATTTAGCAGTGTAAGACTAGAGGGAAGGCAGCTAGTCATCACCACCCACCACCAAGTCTTGGGCTACTCTTTTACCAACGAATAGTGGGATTGACCATCATGCCCCCACGGCTGAAAGGGCAAGTATTTTTGGTGTGACGGGTATGATGTACGTGGAGAGAGTCACAAGAATAAAATCGCTACAGGAGATATAGTGGGGTATAAAGACTGGAGCAAGCGAGGTAAAATTAATACCAATGCATAGACGAGCAAAGAAAAGAAACTTTCGTCGGGATAAAGCTAAAGTGTGAGAGGAGGTAAGTGTGTTTCAGAATAAGTAATTTTCACTCCAACTTTCACTATTTTAATTTCTCTCTTTTACAGCAGCTGTGGTATTCTATAAGAGGCCTACAAATTTATTGGTGGTTAATAGTTAATGTGACTGTCAATCCCACTGTTTCAGAATAAGTAATTTTCACTATTTTAATTTCTCTCTAATGACACACTGAAACATATTACAGACTTTTTTACAACTACCACTGTATTACATTACTAGTAAAGTGCAAGTTAAAATAATCAAGATACTTAATAACATTTTACTCATATTTTTATATTTATTCATAAATTCCAGTAAACTTTAATTTTATAATTATTTTTCTGGTTCCTCATCAATAATCATTTCCATTTTATCACAACCTCAAAATACAAATGTTGGTAATGTTAACTGGAGGACATGAATCAAGAAACTTACCTCAGATTCTCACCTCCCTCTGCTAAATGATGCTCTAATCCTTCAGAAAGTGATATAACATATGGCTTCAGGTGAGCATGTTCTAGAACACTCCACAATTGTTCATCTGTAAACTCTTTACTTGGATCAAGATTGATACGTAGAGTTCCAGTAAACAGCATGGGATCCTATGGTATAAACAGTTTTTCAATAATAGCATGCATTTGAAAGCATTTTGTTTTCTTAAAAACAAAAGTGACATAATTGTGATACTAACAAAAATAATCAGAAATTTATCCTACAATGAAAACAACCAATAAAAGGAAAATGTTGAGACTGTACACTTAAATATGAATGCAAGAAACATATAATTATTATATTAGTTTGTTAGTAACACTACCAATCACCAGGTGCTGCACAGTTCATTTCTAATAAATTACAAGGTCAAAACCTCAATTTCTTTGTGTTATTCTCACAGTAAAAAATTATATTGTACAAGCTGTGCAGTGTCAGAAGTTGTACATTTTAAACCTGTCAGTAAAGCATAAAGCTTCATCCAATGAAATTTAAAATAATTAAAAGCCTTTTATAGCAGCTGTGGTATTCTATAAGAGGTCTACAAAGTTATTGGTGGTTAATAGTTAATGTGACAGTCAATCCCACTATTCGTTGGTAAAAGAGTAGCCCAAGAGTTTGCAGTGGGTGGTGATGACTAGCTGCCTTCCCTCTAGTCTTACACTGCTAAATTGGGAATGGTTAGCGCTGATGGCCCTCGTGTAGCTTTGCATGAAATTCGAAACAAACAAACAAACAAACAATTAACAAAGCTAAACTTGTAACTATAAACATAAGAATGATATGATCACCTGTGGAATTACAGTAAGTTTTGATCGTAGATCATGTAAGCCAATGGTTGAAATATCATGACCATCAATATAAACTGATCCAAATGCTGCCTCAATGATTCGGAACAAAGAAAGAGTAAGTGAAGATTTTCCTGCTCCTGTTCGTCCTACAACACCAATCTATGGAAAGTCAATATAAATAAGGGTTAACTTTTTTAGAATTAAGATGTGTATATATTTATGATAGCTTTTGATTCCAAGTATTAAGAGAATAAGTTGTAAAATTCCTTATAAAAGCTCCAAGGTGAACATTACTTCCAGTTCCTTGTTAGAAATATGTTACGTGACAGAAAAAATGGAAAGAAGTTAGATTTATCTTAATTTAAGGTAATTTAGATGGAAAAGTACTGGCTTAGCTAATTAAACACTTCAGGTTAAGAACCTGGTGTGAAAATTATTGTTTACAGATAATCAGTTCCTTACAATACATTTAAAGTTAAGATAAAACCCAAGATGTTTCCATGAATGAAATATATTAAATACTAAAGATATACATTAATATTAATAATAGATAACCTAACTACAATGGGATTAAATTAAGAAACACAAGGTCCACTGAACAGTCAATGTTTTTTATAAAACAATCTGGGAAAAATTTAAACTTTGACTATTTTGTTTATAACATTTCACCTTTTCTGCTGATTGTATGTTCAAATTGATATCCTTCAAGACCAGGTCCAGTCCTTCCCTGTAGCGAGTACTATAATTATGGAAGGACACTTTGCCCTCTGCTGGCCATTGCTTGGATGGTTTTTGGTCTTCAATTTCCCAAGGAGCCTAAAATAAAAATCTCAGTTTAAGTCATAGTTGTTGTGGTTTGGTTTGTTATGAATTTTGCACAAAGCTACACAGGGGTTATCTGCAGTAGCCATCCCTAATTTAGCAATGTAAGACTAGAGGGAAGGCAGCTTGTCATCACCATCCACATCAACTCTTGGGCTACTCTTTTACCAATGAATAGTGGGATTGGCCATCACATTATAATGCTCCCATGGTTGAAAGGGCGAGCATGTTTGGTGTGACGGGGATTTGAACCCGAGACCCACAGATTGAAAGTCAAGCACCCTAACCACCTGGTTATGCTAGGCCTAGTTGTTGTGCTTTAATTGAATGTATATATATATATACACACATTAATATATATGTATACATTAATAACTTATTCAAAATATATCTGAAAACTTCAAATACAAACTGATGACTTCAAATACTCTATAATTAATGTTTAAAAATCTATTAGTACAGAAATTCATGTACAAAATATTTTTCACTAAATTTAACAACTTCTAACTGCAAAAAAAAATTATAAGAATAGAAACAAGAATGATCCATAAACATTGAATAGCTTACCTCAGATGGAAGAACAGAGAACTCATCAATCCTCTCCACTGACACAATTTTTGTTTCCAAATCAGAAACATTCGGACCACCCAAATGAAAGCATCTGGCAGCTGTGTGTAAATATGTATAGAAAGAAATTTAACAGGAAGCACAGATTTAACTGGTTATAAATATAACATTGCTAATATAGTATTGTGAATAGCAGACATTTTGTAGTATCAACATAGAATGCTATAAAGAAAAATAATTTAGAAATTGTCTGACAATACAGATGCTAGGAGGAATTTACTGTCGTCAAAAGTACATTGTAACAGTTATTAGTCAAATAGCTGTCATTCTTTAGTCTCAGTAGTAGTCAGTACGTTTAATATCTATGTTATACAAGTCTGCCTGGAACTTCACTTAGTGATATTTAACCTCGTTCCTTCCAGTTACACAAGAATATTCACACTGATTTACCTTAGCTGTCTATTGGCCACTAAATTACGACAAATAACTTAGATAGGATAATTTTCGAACAAGCACTCAACTTGCAGTTCTCAGAATAAATTGATTAATTTTTAAGTGGAAACAAAGAATGTTCTCTGGTTAGGCCTAAATAATAACTTTCTAAAATTATTACATACTTGTACTCATTTCAAGCAGTTTGGAATGCAGGTGAATCATATACTTTTTAAACTAGTTATAGACAAATTTTTGGTCATTTAGTTTCCATGCTGTCATGGTGGCAACACATGTTCCAGAAATATTATCTTGTTCTAGTTGCTTTGTTTCTTTGTTCTCTATAGTAGATAATGTCTTTTCTGACAAAAAGGTTATGGCAATAACATATATCATCCAGGTTGAAAGTATTAGCACTGTAATATCCTTTGCTGGGTAAGTTGACATGTCTAAATGATACAGCTGACCAATGCTGTGAGAGAACAAAGGTCACGAGGCAATCCTGTCAAGTGGACAAAAAAAAAGGTTTATAACAGAATTCAGGTACACTTTCTTTAGCCAATTCTACTTGCAGATCATTGAGTGAAGGTCTTACTTGGAAATCATCTTGTTTTAGTTCCACAAAGATCAATCCTAAAAGAGTGAAAGCTGTGGGACTAAGCACTGCCTAGTAAGCAACTGTCTTTTAATGTGTGGAAGTAGGAAAACTGTGTTTGCTTTTTGTTTGCCAAATATTAAAGACTGTTTTCATTACTCCCAACTTTATGAAGTTTCATTGTTTTACATAAACTACGAAAACACAGTTAAGTTATCCAATTCAGAATTACTCTCCTGATTTTCCTGAATAGCTATTAGCAGATCTGTCCATCTGATATTTGTCCAGAAATCAGTAGCTCTTACTTGAAAATACCATAGTGGTACAATTTGATCTTTTTAAGATATTTAAAAATTCTATTCACTATAATTATAGATTATATTTCTGTAAAGTAGCTTATTCTTGTCTTAACTAGTTTATCTGTATTTTTTACCACACATTAAATACGATTTATTTTACTCTATAAAGCCAAAACATCTAGTCCAGGCCTAAGTGAATTATAATTAATATATTAAGTTAGATATACTGTAGTTGAAATAATAACAGGGTTTTGGCAATTTACTAATTAAACCTGGGGTTTTGGCAATTTACTAATCAAACCTGGGGTTTTGGCAATTTACTAATTAAACCTGGGGTTTTGGCAATTTACTAATTAAACCTGGGGTTTTGGCAATTTACTAATCAAACCTGGGGTTTTGGCAATTTACTAATCAAACCTGGGGTTTTGGCAATTTACTAATCAAACCTGGAAAATGTAAAAGATAATTTTCAAACGTTGGTTTTGGTAAATAAATTTCCTTTTGAAAATTCCAATGGAAATATTGTAAAACATTTAATGTTTCAATATTAATGTTTAAACTTAAAAGTATAAGATGTGTGAATAATTGTAGATCCATGATTCCCTAAAGTAAAGTTATTCTTGTTTCTTCTTGAAACACAGCAGTCTAGACTTGTTTTAAAAATAACTAAATAGTATGTATAAAATATATAAGAATAGCTTTAACAGACACAGGAAACATAAAATCTGAGTACTTACTAAGTAGCAGAATTATCTATAATCATAGCTAATACTTATGACCATGTTTTTTAAACAATAAAATAAAAACACTCAAGATGATTGTTTGTTCATTGAAAGCTACTTAAGAGCTAGAGTAAAGGGAGTTGGTCAACACCACCCACCGTCAACTCGAGCTAAGTTTTACCAACAAATAGCAGGAACAATTGTCGTATTAAAACCCTCATAGCCGAATGACAAGCATGTTCGGTGATGGGATTCAATTCAGAAACTCACAGATTTAACATGAAAATAATGTTCACTTTTTTACTGAACAAGAGTATGATTTGTGCCAGCAACTGCACTTACTAGGCAGATACTTTAACCAACCATTAGCCCAACTCACATCATATAATACTGGACAAGGTCAATTTTAATTTCTTCTTGAAATAACTTATGCTCACTTTCATGTGATGGAAAATTAGATAATAATATGGGCCTAATTGTCTGCATTTAAATCTTAAAAATAAGTCAATTTGTACTGTTTTACACAAAATTTAAGTTTCCTCCTTGACACGTGAAAGTAATTAAAATAAAAGAAATATGAAATAAAACAGATGCATCTGTAAAGTCTTTTGTTAAAGAATAAAATGTATTTCCTGAAGATTTCAAAACTGGTTGAAAAATATCAAAACTCAATTATAACTACTTTCATAATTTGTTGCATTAGAAACAAAAATATTGTATATTACAAATGATGAATATATTTCAAGATTAAATTTACTATTTAATAACTTTTATATTTGTAATTTACTAAAATAAATGGGCCATTACACTTTTCTAAGTTCAGTAATAAGTTTAAGTTTGGGATATTGATTTTTTACTTTTAGCTAAATTTAAATCAATCAGTTGAGAAGTTCATCACCTTTATCAACTTAGTGTTTGACTAAAATATGTAAACTTCCATAATGGCCCATTCAATGTCGAGTTATTAGGAAACTAATATACAATTGGAATTTTTTATTTCCATAAATTTGCAGATTTTTCAATTGTGACGCATTTCACAATCAGTTAAGACATAACACAACAGCTTCTATATAAGGCTGTATCACATCATAAACTATATGAAAAAGCACTAATCTTCTTCTATCCTGCAAGTTGATAATAGATATTGGCCTAGTAAACTTATCACATGAATACTTAAGAGCACATCTTCTGCTTTGCACATTCTGTAATCGTGAATAACATTTCCTTTATAGATAAATAGAAGGAAGAAAACTATGATTTGGGGCACAATGAAACATAAAGTGTTACTAGACAAAAAAAGTTATAACATAAAGATTCCAAAAATAACGAGAAAATGGAGTTATGTTTGTAGTAAAACATATGTAGGACAAACAGAAAAAGGAAGTTAAAAACAAGATTCAAAATGATATAAAATATGACAATACTTTTCCCCACATGTAGCTGATCATTTCTTGAGTTGTCAGAATGAATATGACTGGAAAAGTGTCAAGTAATAAATGTAACAATGAACACAGAAACAAACATAGGAGAAAGCAGATGCATTATTCAAAGCACAACTGTGTGTATAAATAGAAACAATGGACCAATTAACATTGTTAGCTCGTCCTCCCTTCTCCCACTTGTTACTTTAAATGAACTTAGCTGTTTAACAGTTGGAGTTTAAAAATATGATACGTAAACACTACACTCACAGCCCTGATGATGGAAGCTGTGTTACTGAAACCAGTTTGTTTAATAGTGTCATTTCCTTCTCTTTATCTATCTAAATACCATAACACAGTGTGCTTGCAAAAAAAATACAAAATCTCATTCATCTTGATTATATATCATTATGAGTGTCAGGTATTGTAAGGCTGGATTCTTTACAGTAGGTGTCTGTGACTTGTTGGCAATAAATTTCAATTGTAAACAAACAGCAACACAGTCCACTTTTTTTTTTAAATATATTAAAGACAAATTAAACGTTTGTTACACTGTTGGCTACCACAGTTGTATCCAGAGCTTTAAATAATTGTCTCTTTTCTGTCAAAGTCCACACCAGCTGGTTCAGTTACTTTAAAACACAACTGAGAAGACAAATTATTCTCTACTCTGTTATTACAATACATTCTGTGATAATTTCACTTTAAAAATTGCTACTATACTCTTTATTGCTAAACTCACAATCATGCAGTCTAGAACTAGAACTAAATAATGACTTTTTTATTCATATTTATACCCTGACAGAGGTCTAGAACATTCCATGTAATACTAGATATTCTGATGCAGTAATACTCAGTTAAACCAATGAGAAATTCAGAAACTTCTAGCAACATGATGAAATAATCTCACTATTGTAAACAACCATTAATTCATAACGATTCAACCACACAAGGTATGATTCGCAAACAGTTGTGTAAACAAACTTACCATAAAATATTACTTACCCACACTATATAAACTATCTAAATCATAATGTTCGCATTAAACGTAAACAATCATGTATATCTAACAATGCGTAAAGACAGGTATTACCTGGACCTCTGACTGAAATGTTCTACTACATTTCTACATACATATATATAAAATCCAACGGAGAATTTTGATTGCACAGTTTATTTACAGAAGATCTCTTGAATCATATTGTCCCTTCTAAGGATACCTGGTTACTTCTTTGAGAGAGGGTGATGTTTACAATAATAATGGTTGAACGTTAATTCCCTTACATAACATGACATTTATACAACATTTTCATTCATCTGCCTCATCAACAGTGACATAAAAGTAAATCTCTGAGATCACTTAACAGCACTGTTTGATACACAACAAGCATATGAGAAAAAAAGTATAAGATACTCAACAAAAGCTCTACAGATAAAAATAAAATATGATTAAAAAAAAATAAACTCTTACATTAAAAGCATATGACAATGTAAGACCAACAATGCCGGGGCTAATCCAACCTCGACTCAGAACAGCAAACAAAGCTGTGAAAAATGAGATTAAAGATCCTAGCAAGTACAGTATAACAGCCAACCATCTGTAAAGAAATAAACAAACTTTAGAATAAGTTATATGGTAAACTAAAATAGTTACAATTATATATGAGGCTTGTACTCAGTTTTCATTAGTACAAAAGCAAAAGGTAAACAGATCTAAGTTCGAAAAAAAATTATACAAACTTGTCAAAGTTGAGTAAATGCTTATATATAAATACAAAATTCTAAATTGCACGAATACGAAAAATAACAGTTTTAAGAATCACATATTTACAACAAATAAAATAGTGGTTGCAATATATATATACAGAAGTTATAGACCTGTTTAGGTGAAGCTGATGCTGTTTCTGGAACAAAAGGGATAAGATATAGCTAAACTTTGAAATCTTAACACTAAGCTAAAAAAAAACTGATTTTTCTACAAAAATAAATGCAGATCAAAAACAGATTTACTTTTCATCTGTATGTATGAATATAGTTTTGTTGGATAAACATTGTGTAAGTATTTTAAATGTGAAGGCTAATCCTCTATTTGTGGTATGGAAATACCACACGTCTCACTCTTCCATAGTGTATGTTTTATATTTACAAAATTCTAACTTTTTTTAATATTCTATTTTGGAACATATTCAGTGTGTTCAAT